TGCATTGCAGAGAGAGAGGCTACCAGAGCAAGGGAGTTGCTCATATAAATATGACTACCGTGGACATCAAATCGCTCCATCCAAGTGAGAACACCAGGGGAGAAATCAATAACCCAAGCAAGAAACCCTAATAACAGCTGACATTTATACAGCATCTTATGCCCAGGAGTTCCCAAACACTTAACAAATATTATAGACTGAACTGACCTACAGATGCTGGGCCAACCCCCCCCCCCGCCAAGAGGACCAATTCCTGCACCAAGGCAAGGGGACTCTGGTGGGTTTCCTATGGCTTTCTCTACCCAATGCCCCAGTGCTGGCACCTTTGGCCCCATTGTCAGCACCCCATTATGTTTCAATAAGATTACACACTTAAGTGACAGCAGTATTGGAGCATCTGTAAATCATGAAGGGAACTGAGCTGAGTCAAGAGATTTTAATCCCATTCCCAGCTCTACCAGGGGCCTGTAAAGAACCTTGAGCAAGTAGTTTCTTTTCTCTGTGCCGCTTTCCCCTCTCCCACTGGCTAAGTACAGGCAGTCAAAAAACCTAAGGCTGAATTGATTTAATCTTCACAGGTTAGTTTAAGCTGCATAGATTGAATTGATAAGCAAATGAACAGACATTCACTTTTGATTCTGGAAATACAGTCACATGCCTGCAGTGGTTTAGGCCAGAAGCCAGCTAGAGCCCACCTCCCTGGGCCAAGTCTAGCCCACTCACCCTGGAAACATAGGTTTGCAGGGGAGGTGCAAAACATCCTGGGATGCTGGGGGGCTGAGAGTTAACTTGCATCTGGAGGAGATATGGGACAGAAATTCAATAAACTGATTTAACCTAAAATCAGTGAAGTCTGATACTACATCTATCCAGGTTTATCTCAAACTGGTTTTGGTCAATTTGGAAAGCAGTTTATGTGCAATGAACTTCTGTTGTGTTACAGATTTGAACCAGTTTCCAATCACTTGTGCTGCCTTGTGTGTAATTATTATCCCTAGCCACCATCTCGCCTCTTTAGTTAGTTAACTCTCCGTGACAGGGAGTATGCCCCCCTATGTGTTTGTACAGCCCCTGTCAAAAACAGGGCTCCAATCTCATTGAGCCCTTTTAGATGCTACTGGAATATAAAATAATTATAGCTCTTCAAAGGCAGCAGAATTAGCTTACTCCTTTGAATAGAAGACCCACAAGCACTGTGGCAGGTAGGGCTGTGCAAAGCTTCAGGTGCTGATTTGATTTGGAGATTTGGCCCCATTTGCTGGCCTAATCTCCAAATCTGAATCGAATCAAGCGACCAGTTGAGAGGTCCAAATTGATTTGAAGCTCTCCGAATCAATTCAGAAAAGATTTGAAGAGCTTTGGCGATTTGAGCAGTCCCTGCCCACTGCAGCAGGGAGCTGGACCTGGACTTTGAGTAGTAAGTACAGGGCAGGGGAGAGAGGACTGGAGGAAGGCAGGGAGAGGAACACGGGTAGACCCCTGCCAGGCCCCATCCCCTGCCTGCTCCCTCAGCACTGCCCCCCACCCATGGCTGCCCTGCCCTCCTCAGCTCCTGGCCCTTTAAGAAAAGCAAAATACACCCCCCCAACTCACCAGCTGCTGCAGTGGCCTCAGGGCTTCTAGGGGCTCATGCAGAGCCCCCCACAGTGCAGTGAGCAGTGGGACTCACCCCCACAGTGAGCAGCCAGCAAGTCTGGGGGGTTTTTTGGTTTTTTTTAAAGGTCCGGAGCTGGTCCAGGTAGGACAGCCATGGGGCTCATGGCAGATACCCCCCTCCCCCATGGTGCAGGGTAGTGCAGGGCAGTGGGGATTGCCTCCTGCCTGGCAGCAGCCAGTGAGTGGGGCTTCCCCCGCCACAGGAGCCAGGAGCTGGGGTGGGTAGGGCAGCCATTGAGATTGGGTGGGGGATGGGGCCCCATGCGATTCAGAGATTTGGCAGCAGCCAAATCTCCGAAACGGATTCAGCGGAATCAATTTGGGGCAGCGATTTAAATCACCGAATCGAATCACAGTCCCCTGAATCCAAATCCGAAGCGAATACTAGCCACTTCACTCATGCCTAGTGGCAGGACTCTTTTAAAGGGTCCTGAAAAAGGCACAGGACCCTTGCTTATTGCAATCAAGGGCAATGCATGTACCCTTTTTCTAGAGTTTATGCAGCTCTAAAAATTGTTCACAAGTGCTTAATTTAGATGTCCAGGCTCCACTGACCTCCAACAGGATTCCAGTTTGCTGTAAAAATATAATGGATAAATGGAGGGGAAACCCTCCCTTGTTTAACTGTTTTTCTCTAGTGATGACTTGTACAGCTAAATATTTTGAACTGCCTAAATGACTCAAAAACAAGTCTTATTAAGAGTAGTCACCACCATTCTTTCTGGCCTTCAATCCTAACTGTATTGTTGCACAGGCTTTTTGAAGACAGATCAGCAAGAAAATGTGAAACCATTCCCTACCACCAAAACTGATGCCTGCATGTAGAACATACATTTCAGCATTGCAAGTTCTGCAAAGGACATGTGTGGGGGAAATGGAGACTTATAGCAACAGAACGCCACTCAGAAGTGACAGAATAGAATTTCAGCGGCAGAATCAGACAACAGATGGCCGACATCAGATTAAAGGAACAAAAAGAATAGAAGTAGCAGCAAGTTGGAAAGACCTGGTAGTTTAGAGAACAAAGGAACACAGGGGGAGAGAGTCAAATCAATCAATGAGTTCAAGTTTTTACTTAAAAAAAAAAATAAAATAAAATAAAAATCTCAAACTGTTAGAAGAGAGCTATATTTTTCCTTGATGTTGAAATCTCAAGGTAGAGTTGCAGATTGATCTGGTAAAGTCAAAACTTTTAACCAGAGCTGATCTGCACTTGAAAATTTCTTTTTGTATTTCCACAGCAGGGGCAAGATTGATTTTTTAGTTCTTCAGAAACTTGGTTGGGCCACTGAACAAGCGATTGTTTCTTTTCCTTTGTTTTTCCATGCGTGTACATGCACATGTACTTATAAGAAATCTCAAGGGCTAGGGACAGACGTTCAAGAAGCCTGAGCCTGAATTGATTCAGTCTCTGCAGGTTAGTCTAACCTGCCTAGGTTGAACCAGTTTGCAATCACACAGATCTCCCCTCTAGGCTTAAGAAATGCCAGCACGCCTGCAGTGGTTTAGGCTAAAAGCTGGGCGGGTGCTAGAGCAGCCTTCCCTTCCCTTTGACAGTGCTGAGCTGAGGGGGGGAACCTGGCCAGGCCCCAACAGGATGCTCTTATTAGGGAGGGGTGTAAACCCCCACCCTGCCTACACCATCCCAGGTTTTTCCCTGCTCAAGGAGTGGGAGCATTGCCAGCCCCCAGCTAGCACTGAGGCAAAGGGGTATGCGTGCAGTGCATGCATCTCCCTCTCCTTGCTTCTTCATATGTTTTGCAAATCTGACAGGCAAGGGAACCAGCAGGGGGCTGATAACACAGTGTTTAGCAGCCCACCAACAAAACAAAAGCCAAGTTCAAGCTCTTCTTCAACAGCTTTTTCCAAGGAAAGAACTGAGGGACATTACCAGCTGACCTGTTGATTACCTCCAAAAAGCCCTAAGCCGACACTGTTCTGTTTGCCTGTCCCAGTGAAATTGGAGATACACACAGACACCTCTCAGGATTAGCTAGCATACAACATGCCTAGGGTCTGTGGGGCTGGGGTCCATGCTGTGGGAGATGGGAGGGAGGGAGGCAGCTCCCTTACCTCAGTGGTTTACAGCGACTCTTCAAGGACAATATTGCACACAGTCAATTCTTTGGGTCCAAGTCTTGAATGATTTAACTTAAACACCTTGAATTAGAAAGGATTGCTGACAAAAGATGCACGAGACAGAGATGCTGGCTTGAAAACATGTGTTTTGGGAACCCTTACAAGTGTCCTTTTCAGAGCTAATCACATTGTAGAGAGACACAGATTTCCAAACTTATTCGTGGTGCTGCGTTCACATGGGAATCTCCTTAGATCTTCACATCAGCACTCAGGAGTGCGGTTTTGAGAAGCTCGGTAACTACTGCTTTTCCCTTGGCCAAGTTATCCAGCATAGCCCATAATGGAGTTGAAGAGACATCTCCTTGCCATCTCATTCACTCACCATTTAAAGCATGTTGAAAGGAGGAGGAAAATTCTTGAAGCTTGCTAGTATCAGTTCAGCACCAATGGCATTAGGAACACTAGGATCCCTTTTGGAGGTTGGCCACTGCTCACTACATGCATTTTTACTATGGTGTGGGTTCCAACATTAGATTCATAGATTGTAGAGTCGGAAGGGACCGCAAAGGATCGTGTCCGACCCCCTGCCCCGGCAGGAAAGAGGACCTAGTTCAGATGCCCCCAGTCAGGTGACTATCTAGCCTCCTCTTGAAGACCTCCAAGCTAGGTGATAGCACCACCTCTCTTGGAAGCCCAGTCCAGATCCTGGCCACCCTTACTGTCAAAATTTTTTCCTAATATCTAACCTAAATCCACTGTCAACTAGTTTACACCCATTATTCCTGGTCCCTCCCTGGGGCGCCTTAGTAAACAGCGCTTCCCCTATTCCCCGTTGACCTCCCCTAATAAATTTATAGGCGGCCACAAGATCTCCCCTCAGCCGTCTCTTGTGAAGGCTGAAGAGATTCAGCTCTCAACCTCCCCCCGTAGGGTCCATCACGAAGGCCACTAATCATGCGAGTGGCCCTCCTCTGGACCCTCTTGAGATTCCCCACATCCCTTAGGTGATACAGTGTCATGTTTGTCTGCAACGATCTATGCTGGAAGTAAACCGATGTTAGCAATAATGAGGAAGCTGTACGAAAACTTCTTTACTGTAGTAACGACCAAATGGGAGAGAAAGAAAAAAAAAAGTTTCCCATGAGGCCTACACTTGCGTGGAGAGCATAGGTGGGTAGGCAGCTTTCCTTTAATGGCAGAACTAGTGTTACTATTGTCATTCACTGGTTTAACAGTGCACAGAGATCTCAGTTATGGATCATAGCTTATCCACATGCAGCACAATGACAACTGAAAGGCATCAGCTGTTCTGAAGCCTTTAAGACTTTGCATAATGTCAGAGTCACCAGGAAAATTAAAAACTGCAGGGGTTGCTCCATTCTGATCCGATTTATACTGCTGTGGCCAAGTAGCGATCGCACTGATGCCAGCAAAGTTACACCAATGGAAGACTATGCTTTTGTATCAGTTAGGCCTCAGGTTTACGCAGGTATTAGTTTCCAACTAAGAATACAACACTGGATTATGGTCTCATTTATTCTGGTCCAATTCCATTGAATGCAGAACAGCTGATTACTATTAGTCTTACAGGTGTACCCATGACGCACTCTGCTATGGACCATGTATACACATCGGGAAAAAGAAGAGAGGGCTTATGAAGTAAGCAGGTTAGAGCGAAGGAACATCACTGAGCCCATCTCTGAGAGGAGAAAAGCAGTGCATGGGAAGATTAATCATCAGGGGTATTTAGGCACCTGAGCATCTTGGAAGATCAGGGTCTGAAGGACTTGTGCACATTCACATTGGGAGTCTTTTGCAGAGCCACTGAATTTAGATCAAGTCCTAGGCCTGCAACTAAGGCAGTGGACACTCCCCCTCTCTAAACTGCCGTCATTAGCTCCGTGCACAAAGAAGGTTGCATTTAAAACTTGCATGGGATTTCTCAGCTTCTCCCACTCGTGGCATCTTCCAGCCGAGGCCACCGTTTGGTTCTAATAATGTAAACATACCGGGGATTGTATTATTAATAATAAAAAAAATATATATATATATATATATATTCCCCCTGAATTTTTCATGTGGGTTTCATCTTGTGTTTTCTTCCTCGGGGCATCCCACCCACACTGCACAAGGAGCGTAGGAGTGAGAGAACAGAACCAGTGTAACTAGCCTGGCCAGCCTGTGGCGAGCAGCAGAGCCCCCCTCTGCCATCACAAGTGACAGCTTCAGCAGAGCTTTCTGCTGCAACCCAAGGTCACAAGGAGAAAACAAGGGGCAACCCCCGAGCCATGCTTTCCCCTCCAAGCAACACTTCTTTTTCCTTTCCCCCTCAAAAATGATGTCCCTTCCAAGCATCAAGCTTAACTTCTCCCCAGCATAAACACGGCCAAATCCTCAGCCGGCAGGGAAAAATAATAATAGACTGATTTCAATTTACATCAGCTGTAAATTGAGCCCTTTAAAACTTTTGCTTGTCAGCCCCCTTTCTTTGTACAGTGGCAGCTGATCTCACTGAGCTTGCTGTTCATCAGAATAACTATGCGAGGTATAGCGGGGTACAAAGGAGGAGTAAAACTGAGCAGACTTTTTAAAGAGACTCAATTTCTTTTCTCCCTTCCCCTCCAACTCATTGTTGCTGGTGCTGATCGTCCCTGCCACTCTGGGATGAGTGACAATTCTTCTGCCGTTTCCACAAGCACCAGGAGAATGGCAAAGTACTCATTTGTAGACTACTGCGACAAAAGTCCTTGCCCCAGAATGGGGACAGTGCACAGGGTTTAATGGGAGATCATCCAGGCCAGCTGAAGCCTCAGACAACTGACCTGTCCTTTGATGGGTAGATCGTGCCTGAAATGACACAATGCCTGTAAGTCAGAGAAGTCTCTTTGGGGGATTTCTGAATGTAGGTAACAGCCTATACTTTCTGGAGCAATTAGGGATTTTGGAGGACAACTGCAAGCCACCTGCTGGGTGTTTATACACATGCTCCGGGAGTGGGGCAGGGATGTTTTAATTAGAATGGCTCTAATTAAAGCACCCAGTGCGTCTTGTGTATCAGCATCCCGGCATTTGCAAATGGCAGCGGGGGCACGTTATCTAACACCTGTCAAATGAGCTTTATTTAAAGCATCCAATGCCATTTTGAAGCACGGGGACACTGATACATGAGAGGCTGCTGGAGCGCAGCAATTGCCATGCTCCAGCAGACTCAATTAATCAGTCTGCTACAACATGCTGGAATTACAGCACGTCGGAGCAGCCTCCCTGCTCGTGTATAGGCTCTGATTAAGAGAGTCAGGTTTTTAAGGTCTCTTCTCTTGGGCTTCCAAGACAGGTGGTGCTATCACCCAACTTGGAGGTCTTCAAGAGGAGGCTTGACAAATCACCTGGCTGGGGTCATCTGACCTCAGTCCTTTTTCCTGCCAGGGGCAGGGGGTCGGACACGATAATCCATTGGGTCCCTTCCAACTCTATAATCTACAAATAAAAATAGCGGTGTCCAAAACCACCAGTCACACTAGAAAAAAAAAAAAAAAAATTAGGCCAGTTATTTACAACCCAATCTAGTCCACGAGATGCCATCACAACTATAAATTAGTCTGCACAGCCCGACACCCCGCACAACTCCCCGGTGATAAATGGAGTCGGCTCAGAGCACATAGGCAACCCTACAAACAAATACCTGCTCAGCCCAACTATTGAACTCAATCCCAGAATTATGAACAAGCGTCCATAGCCAATCTTACATTCATTGGAAAGCCAGATTTCAGGCAAGCAGCTGATTTCAGTTTGAAGCTGAAAAGAAAAAAAAAAAAGTCATTACAAATAATAGCGGAGGGGGGCAGGGGGATTATTTGGAAGACTCAAGGGACGTAACAGCCTCCGTAGAAGCAAGTGCATGAAATGGCACAATGACCACACAGACAAATGAAGCTGAGAACAAGCAGAGGCATGCTCAGTAAAGTTTTCCAAAGACCTTGGGGGG